GATGTCCTTCTCAAGGATAGGGCAACCAAGGTCCAGTATTAAAGAGGCCACAATCCTAGGCCTTAGTAGTAGGAGCTGTTTATAAATCACGGATACAAATCCCTTGTTAAATTATCTATTATAAATATTTTCCACAGCCTGTAGCTTGTCTGTTAATTTTCTTAAAGGTTTCTCTTAGTGACATAATAGTCTTCATCTTCATTAATTTATTGATTTTATGAAACTATTATCAGCTTTTTATTTTATGGCTAATGCTTTCTTCTGTTCAATAAATCTTTGCCTACCTAATGTTTGCAAAAATAATGTTCTAAAATTTCATCTAGAAGCTTTATGGTCCTGGATTTTATGTATATATCTATGATCCATCTCAAATGTTATTATTGTGTATTTTTTACAGAAGTCCTGGAGTATTATTAATAGTATCTCATTTCCATTTTACGGATAAAAGGGGGCAAGGTTCAGTACTTTATCTAAGGCCATACTTCTAGGGGTCAAACTCTAGTCTCATGTTAGCACATTTTCTACATTTTCTAATATATGCCATGAAGCTTTCAGTACGCCCCCTCAAAACCAATGCCCTCATATTACACAGCATTTTTTGAGACAGAGTCTCACTGCCACCCAGGCTCTAGTGCAGTGGCAAGATCACAGCTCACTGCAGCCTGGAACTCCTGCACTCAAGTGATCTCCTGCCTCAGCCACCCAAAGCACTGGAATTACAGGTGTGCACCACTGCCGCTAGCCTACACAGATATTTTTATAATACCACCTTTACTACCCTAAAATGAAACTCCTAGGAAATATAAACTACTTATATACACACACTTTAAAAAATCAATAAATCTCCTAACTTAATATGAACTTAAAAATCAATAAATCTCCTAAACCTAAAAATAATGTAATTTATAACAAAAACAATATATATTTCAGTATGTAAAGGCTTGGGCATGACTGCAGTTAGAACACATAGGGAGTAAAATGCTTGCTTGATCCTATGCAGAATCACTATGAATGTGACAACTGCATTGCAAATGGATTCAAATGTGTTATGTTGGTTACTCAAATAACAGTTGGAAATTTTTTTATTTTTCAATTTTTGTGGGCACATAGTAGGTGTATATATGTATGGAATAAATATTTTGATACAGGCATACAATGCATTAAAATCAAATCAGGGTGGTTTTTTTTTTTTTTTTTTTTTTGAGGTCTTGCTCTGTTGCTGGGGCTGGTCTCAAATGCCTGGGCTCAACTGACCCTCCTTCCTCAGCCTCCTAGCTAGCAGGTGGAAATTCTGTCAACAATGTGGGGTGAGTTGGAAATTAAAAAAGAACTTTTTTGGTACAAACGAATTGTTGAGCAATTGTTTATATGCTTTACTGAGCACACCTCTCATCCATTGTTAGTGGGAGGATTAACTAGTTAAACATCTGGAAGGTCACAATATCTATCAAAATGACCAAGGCACATACTTCTTTTTTTTTTTTTTTCCAGACATAGTCTTGCTCTGTCACCCAGGATGGAGTGTAGTGGTGCAATCTCAGCTCACTGCAACCTTCATCTCCCAGGTTCAAGTGATTTCTCTTGCCTCAGCCTCCTGAGTAGCTGGGACTACAGGTACCTGCCATTCTGCTGGCTAATTATTTTTGTATTTTTAGTAGAAATGGGTTTCACCATGTTGGCCAGGCTGGTCTGGAACTCCTGACCTCAAATGATCCACCCACCTTGGCCTCCCAAAGTGCTGAGATTTACAGGTGTGAGTCACCATGCCTGGCTTGGAAATTATCTTATAAATATCTTGCACATGTCCCTAAAGACAAGGATGCTGCATATGCAGTTTTGTTTATAATAGAAAAATAAAAGCTATTAAATGTCCACTAATAGGGAACTAATTAAATAATGATCTATTAAGATAATGACACATTGGGCAAGGGTGGGGGTAAAATCTTTATTTACTGATATAGAACAATGAGTGAGATGGATTCGTCTTAAAAAAATTAAAATGGACAACTGTGTATATTATGCTACCATTTGTTTAAAAAAAAAAAAGTAAAGAGAGGGAATCAAAGATTGAGAAAATAAGCCACAGACTGGGAGAAAATATTTGCAAAAGACCTATCTGATAAAGGGCTCTTATACAAAATATACAAAGAACCCTTAAAATTCAATAATAAGAAAATGAGCAATCTAATTAAAAAATGGGCAAAACCCCTAACAGATACCTGACCAAAGCTATACAGATGGCAAACATGAAAATATGCTAAAATCATATATTATTGGTGAACTGCAGATCAAAACAATGAATACCACTACATACCTATTAGAACAGTTACAAACCGTGTGTGGTGGCTGACCCCTGTAATCCCAGCATTTTGGGAGGCTGAGGTAGGCGAATCACTTGAGGTCAGGAGTTCAACACCAACCGGCCCAACATGGTAAAACCCTGCCTCTATGAAAAATACAAAAATTAGCTGGCCACGGTGGCAGTCACCTGTAATCCTGGCTACTTGGGAAGCTGAGGCAAAAGAATTGGTTGAACCCAGGAGGCAGAAACTGCAGTGAGCCGAGATCATGCCACTGCACTCCAGCCTGCACAATAGAGACTCAGTCTCAAAAAAACAAACAAACAAACAAAAAAACCCGAAAGGTTAAAATCCAAAAACACCAATACCACAAAATGCTGGCAAGGATGTGGAGCAACAGGAACTCTACTTCATCATTGATGGGAATTCAAAATGGTACAGCCACTTTGCAGACTTCTGGCAGTTTCTTATAAAGCTAAACATACTCTTACAATATAATCCAGCAATTTCATTCCTTAATAATTTACCAAAATGAGCTGAAATCATATGTGCACACGAAAACTTCAAGCAAATATTTACAGCAGCTTTATTTATAAATGACAAAAGATGGAAGCAAACAACATGTTCTTCAGTCAATGAATGGGTAAATATAGTACATCCATACAATGGGATATTATTCAGCACTAAAAAGAAATGAGCTAACCAGCCATGAAAAGACATGGGAGAACCTTAAACTGCATACTACTAAGTGAAAAAAGCCAACCTGAAAATACTACATACTTAATGGTTGCAACTATATGACATTCTGGAATAGGCAAAAGTATGGAGACAGTGAAAAGATCAGTGGTTTGGGAGGCAGAATTGGGTGGAGATCGAGACCATCCAGGCTAACAACGTGAAACCCCGTCTTTGTTAAAAATACAAAAAAATTGGGCTGGGCATGGTGGCTCACGCCTGTAATCCCAGCACTTTGGGAGGCCGAGGTGGGTGGATCACGAGGTCAGGAGATCGAGACCATCCTGGCCAACATGGTGAAACCCCATCTCTACTAAAAATACAAAAAATTAGCTGGGCATGGTGGCGCATGCCTGTAATCCCAGCTACTAGGAGGCTGAGGCAGGAGAATTGCCTGAACCCAGGAGGCGGAGGTTGCGGTGAGCAGAGATCGCGCCATTGCACTCCAGCCTGGGTAACAAGAGCAAAACTCCGTCTCAAAAATAAATAAATAAATAAATAAATTAGCCAGTTGTGGTGGCAATGTGCCTGTAGTCCCAGCAACTCAGGAGGCTGAGGCAGGAGAATCACTTGAACCCAGGAGGTGGAGGTTGCAGTGAGCCAAGATTGCGCCACTGCACTCCAGCCTGGGCAACAGAGCCAGACTCCATCTCAAAAGAAAAAGAAAATCAGTCGTTGCCATGGGTTAGCATGAAGGGACGGATAGGCAGAACACAGAGCATTTTTAGAGAAGTGAAACAACTCTTTATGAAACGATAATGGATGCATGCATATCATTCTACATGTCAAAATCCATAGAATATACAAAATCAAGAGTGCCCCCTCTGACTTTGGGTGGTAATGTGTTAAAAGTACGTTGCACCACTCTGGTGGAGGATGCTAACAGGCAGACTATGCGTCTCTTTGGGCAGGGGATATGTGAGAACGTTCTGCTTTCTACTCAATTTCACTATACATTCAAAACTGCACTAAAAACAGTCTTAAGAGAAAGATGTTTGCTTAATTATACTTATCTTTGTAAGAAAAACAACAAACATAAAATTGGTTGTCTATGACAATGAGGGGACAAGCAGGTGGCTGACTGGAAGACTTTTCACTGTTCAACTTTTTGTACTTTTAGAATTTTAAGCCATAAGCTTTTATTATCAAGTCAAAAAGATGAATGAAATTTTAAAAATAAGTAAGGCCAGGTGTGGTGGCTTACGCCTGTAATCCCAGCACTTTGGGAGGCCAAGGTGGGCAGATCACGAGGTCAGCAGTTTGAGACCAGCCTGACCAACATGGTGAAACCATGTCTCTACTAAAAATACAAAAAGTAGCCATGCATGGTGGCATGTGCATGTATACCCAGCTACTCAGGAGGCTGAGGCAAGAGAATCGCTTGAACCTGGGAGGCAAAGGTTGCAGTGAGCCAAGATTGCGCCACTGCCCTCCAGCCTGGGCAATGGAGCGAGACTCTGTCTCAAAAAAATAAATAAATAAAATAATAAATAAGTAAAAAGATTAAACCCTCTGAAAATCCTCAGGAAATAATTTTTAAATGGTAAAAATGTTATATATAAAGCTATTTCACTGCCAAATGAATATTACCAATGGGAACTCACACCATGACAGGCACCATCATTAGCAGATTCTGACTTATAAAAAATATTTTTATGAATATAAATATCACACAGATGGGGAACAGGTCAAAAAATTATGAACAGACCAATGAAATGTTGGGCAACCATTAAAATAAAGTTTATAGAAAGTCTAACATACTGCTACAGTGTTATGTTAAAAAGTAGGCTATAGTACTCTAATATAGTACAACTGTAATTATTCTTAAAAGGGAAGCAAAAAGAGCTATGCAGAAAAGGAAGGCTAGAATAAATACATTAAGGTGACTATTTGCTGAAAGTATGCAATTTTAATTTTTTTCATTTCTCTAATTTTATCAATGTATTTCAATAAGCACACATTAAGTTGAAAAAAATAAATTTTTACTTTAAAAGAATGGTTTTGACAAATTTGGCATCTCACATTAATAGCAAGGTTTAATGGTAGGAAATTACCTGCATGTGACTTTGGTATTATAGAAACCAGAACTACACTTTTGATAGTAAGATACATATTTGAGATTCAACTCTGACATTACCTGTTTGACTTTGAGAAAGTCAAACTCTTTTTCCTTGACTATAGGATGTGAATAGTTAACTCCTACCTTTCTTGCAAGGATGCTTTTAGCATTAGAGGTTCTTGTTTACATTAAAGAGCCTAGCACAGCCTAATGCACCATTAAAAGTATCCTTTCTTTGTTTTTTTTATGGCTTTTAATGAGCCAGTCTTTTAATTAGGCACTCCAACCCATCAGCTTCCCCAAAACACTGTTCTCTCCTTCCTTTGAAAGTGGCTTGTTAGTCTGTGGCATAGCTTGCTGGAACCTGGGATCTTAGTATCTTCTAACCTCATCTTCCCTTAAGTGACTACATTTGGTACTCTGCTCCTAGAACTCAAAACAAATACAGCCACATCCTCATCTACATGCTTATATTCTCCTCTATATTCCAGTCCTCTCTACTGTCCTATGCTTTCTCTTAATCATCTGCTACCAATCCTGCCAATCCTAAACACACACAGAAGTCCCACAACTTGAGGTTTTATTTAGTTAATGTCAGAGAGGCTTTCCTTTTAATGCAAAAGTAAAACTTACAGCTTAAAGTCAAATTAGACCTAGTAATAAAAAGTATCACAACCTAAATGAAGATCTTGAGGGTATCCAGAAGCACACCTCAAAATGTCCACTTAAATCTCAATCAGTACTTTTTTTCCTCTTATTAAATCTGAAATTTCTCAAGGATAAACCAGTCTAGATTACATTATCCTATTTAAACCTAGACATACAGTTTAAATAGACTTCTGTAGATTAATAATGAAATCACAGCCCAATTACAAAATGTCCTTAAGAAATAATACATTATGGAACCAAACAACAATGCTGATTTGCCAGTCGGATTTTAATATTTTAAATAAACTTTTAGAACAGCTAATTAATGGCAGTTAACTGTCACACAGAACTCATTTTAGTCTCAACACAACCCTAGGAAATATCCCCATTTTTCTATTGGGGGACAGGGAAACTGAGGCTCAGAGGGGATAAGGTTACGCCCATTGAGCAGCAGATAAGGCGTCAAACTCCAGATTAGGACACATTACTTCTTGTTCAAAATATAAAATATTCATACTAGCTGCAGATTGAGTCTTATAGTCCCAGGAATTTAGGAGAAAAAAAAAAGATGCTTTCATACAAATCTTTCCATACTCATTATATTCCAAATTTTACTCTCCAGCATGAAGCCTCTGATGTCGAAGAAGTGCTGAACTGTGCCTAAAGGATTTTCCACATCCAACACATTCATAAGGTTTTTCTCCAGTATGAATTTTGTAATGCTCACTAAGGTGTGCTTGTTTGCGGAAAGTTTTTTCACACTCACTACACTTATAAAGTTTCTCTCCAGTGTGAGTCCTTTCATGTTCAACAAGGGAAGAGTTCTGAGTGAAGGCTTTACCACATTGACTGCATGTGTAGGGCTTCTCTCCTGAATGAATTCTCTGATGCTGCATGAGGCATGCACTCTGATTAAAGGCTTTCCTACATTTATTACACTTAAAAGGTTTATCTCCAGAATGACTCCTCTGATGCCGAGTAAGGCATATGCTCTGACTGAAGGCTTTGCCACATTCTGTGCATTTATAAGGTTTCTCTCCAGTATGAATTCGCTGATGTTTAATAAGGGATGGGCTCTGACAAAAGGCTTTTCCACATTCACTGCATTTATAGGGTTTCTCTCCAGTATGAATTCTCAGATGCTGAACAAGAACTGCTTTTGTTTGAAAGGCTTTCTCACATTCATTACATTTATAAGGTTTCTCTCCCGTATGAATTCGCAGATGTTGAGTAAGATTTGACTGTTTGCGGAAACAAGTTCCACATTCACTGCACACATAGGGCTTCTCTCCTCTGTGAATCCTCTGGTGCTGGGTAAGAGATGATCTCTGAGTAAAGAACTTTCCACATTCACTACATTTTGAAGGTTTCTTCTGCATGTTAACGCTCCGATGTTTCATTTTGAGTGATATTTGGCTGGAATTCATGCTGCTTATAACACCAAATTCATATAGTAATACTGTTCTCCTAGGAAAGGTTACTGTTTGTGTGTGCTCACACACATGCATTACTATCCTCTCCTTCATCCCTGAAGGATTTCCCTTCCTCTTCCTTGTTCAGCATGCTTTCTCAATTTCTCCAAAAGTGAACTCCTGATGATCAGCCTCTCTGAAGAAAGAGATTAAGTAGTGACAGGTCTTAGAAATTCTATAAAATTCCCTATCATGATTGATTCTGAAACAATCAAATACTAAAAAGTAACCCAGGTAATTTGGGATCATCCAGATTTGCATCCATCCACAGTCATAAATAACTGGAAAATGTGAAAGGAATAAGTATCCTAGACTTGGGAAAATTAAGTGTTAGGGAAACTTATTGTCCACTTACAGTCTGTACTCAAAAAACAGAGGAATAATAATTCAATTTCCTTAGGTTACCTACCAGCGATAATCAAAGAGTTTCCCTTCTAAGATTTCAAATGTGATCCAGGCTGTAACTTTCAATAGGCCTATCTCACCAATCCTTCCTTATTCAGTCACTTTTACAGGTGTTGCTTTGGATCTCTCTTTCTCTACAAAACATTCGCCATCTGTAGTTCTCTCCCTAGGTCCAACTGGAAACATATGGGTTTGAAAACTAAAGTCCTGCTTACAGAAAGAGAATAAGATATTGCTGTGTTGTTTCAGGAAAATTAGAGAAGTGGTCCTTAAAGAAGAAGCTTTAATTGGACAGTAACTTGACTACAGCATCATGGTCCAAGAGCTGGCCCTCACCTTTGTAGCCAAAGAAATACTTCAGAATCTGAAGTATATTAATCAGCTTCACAAGGGGAATGAGATAGAACATAAAGTGACTTTACTTATTTACAAGGAAAAATTTTTATGCTTAATATAGAGCTGGTTAACACATTCTCTGGACTTCAGAAAAACTGTCTGGGAACCAAATCATTGTCTTCAGTGCACTCTTTGGGAAATAAAGAACTGGAGAAAGAATAAATTACTTAATTGATCATAATTAAATGATCATCAAATTTTGAAACCCTGGTGCCCTAAATAAGCCACACAGAATTAAAGAATAAACATTCAGGTGCTGCACATCAGAGCAACCTCTTCCCTAGGTGGTGCTGGACACTAACACATCCTTATTCTCTGAAGCCCATTTTTATCTTAGTTTTCTAATCATGTAAATTACATATATATAACCTCACTTTAAAATAGATAATATAGAAGTATATAATATAGGCCAGGCATGGTGGCTTGCACCTGTAATCTCAACACTTTGAGAGGCTGAGGCAGGGCCCCGCGTAGTGGCTCACGCCTGTAATCCAAGCGCTTTGGAGGCCAGGGTGGGTGGATCACCTGAGGTCGGGAGTTCAAGACCAGCCTGACCAACATGGTGAAACCCTGTCTTCAAAAAAAAAAAGAGAGAGGCTGAGGCAGGAGGATCACTTGAGGCCAGGAGTTTAATATCATTATTATCCTAGAGGAGTATCACCAATGACAAAAATTAGTGAGTGGGTAGACTTCAGGGAGATGTGGCAATGCACAAAGAAAGAGGGCAGGTCCTTCTAAGGACTAAGCATCTGGAGTAAGTATTTCTTTACAGGAGATCAGCTTAGGGTCCAAAGGCTCCCCAGAGCCTACTGGAAAAGCCATTGATTTCAAAAGTCCTGCAGGACTACAGCAGAAGGCAGTAGGACCAGAAATGGACTCAGTCAAGAGGTGTGGATTCTAGTCTCAGCTGTCACTAATTTATTCAGAAATCTGAAGCAGGTCACTCACTCTCATCCATTTGTTATTTGTTAAATAAAACTGAAAATCTAGAAAATATTGAAAGCTTCCTCTAGTATCAACATTCTGCAGTGCTTTGATTGTATATACAGAAGGGAAAAGAGCAAAAACCTCAAACCAAGCCCTTCCAGTCCATCTTTGATTGAGTCTATTTATTCATTATTTGAAAAGTACTAAATGAGCTAGCAGTGAGGAGAGTGGGTCTTGTTCAGAACCGGCTGAATCAACAGCAGGGAAGCTTACTGTCAGTTATCCTCCTATAATTAGAACTGGGGGAATTTCTGTAAAATAAGAGGATTGCCTTTGTGTGAGGAGTATCTGCTGCAAGATGTTAAGGACCCTTCATAAGGAAAAGGTTTCAAGAACCCCTCCTAATGTAAAGAACACTGCATTCGAAGGCAGGAACCTTGTTTCCTGTCTAATATCCCAATCCACTCGCATATTTTAACTGACACTGAACAAACTATTTAATTATTATTATTATTATTATTTTTTGAGACGGAGTTTCGCTCTTGTTACCCAGGCTGGAGTGCAATGGCGCGATCTCGGCTCACCGCAACCTCCGCCTCCTGAGTTCAGGCAATTCTCCTGCCTCAGCCTCCTGAGTAGCTGGGACTACAGACACGCGCCACCATGCCCAGCTAATTTTTTTGTAGTTTTAGTAGACACGGGGTTTCACCATGTTGACCAGGATGGTCTCGATCTCTTGACCTTGTGATCCACCCGCCTCGGCCTCCCAAAGTGCTGGGATTACAGGCTTGAGCCACCGCGCCCCGCCTGTTTATTTTCAAACTTCTCTTTTTTTCCCCGTTTGATCAAATAAGACACCGATTATTTTCAAGCTTGTCATCAACCTTTAATATTTAGCTCTAATGTAAACCTCGACACCTCTTCCTTGTGGGACATTTTTCTTAATTTTTCCAAGGCACCTTCTCCTCTACATTTTCAAAGAATTACTTTTCCAAGGCACCTTCTCCTCTACATTCTCAAAGAATTTTACGTGTTTCTACTGTAGGACTTTCTGCTCTGATTATATTATCTTCCTCCACCAAACTTACAAGTATGGCATGGGTTCTGGGGCTAGGACTTTTGAACAAGTTACCTAATCTTTTTTTGCTCCCGCTTTTCAACGGTTAAATGGAGATGATAACAGTAAGTACTTTACAGGGTTGTGGTGACGAATGAGTGGGTAACTCCATGGCAACTATTTAGAAGAATGCTAGCTGGTAAGCTTTAAATAATGCCTGCTGTTAACGTATTATTATAGTGTCTACAAGTCTTCATAGAGTACCTAATTTGTTGCTGTTAAGAATAAATAATGAAGGAAAGGTGATAACTCTTGCATATACTTATGTCAACCCGCATAACTTTGGAAACGGCAAGGCAGGAAACAGTATTCACTTCTGGAAATCAGAAAAGTAAAGTGCCCAGAAGTTCCCTGACTTGCTCAAGTATGTACAAATCGAACCCAGGTCCCCCGACTCCCAGCCTAGGGCTCTTGAACAACCTCTCCTTTCTTCATGGCAAGCTTGCCCCAGGCCCCCAGCCTCTGCTCCCAAGGCCCTCCGGGATGGAAGAGGCCCTGCGTCCCGAGGGAGGCGCTGGAGTCTACCCACAGCAGCCGGACACAGCAGAAACCGCTCACCGTGCGCTTCCTGCGGCGCTTCCCTCTTGCACCTAGCAACACTCAGGTCTCTGGACGCTGCCTGGCGGAATGCGGCAAGTCCCTGACGCCCCACGCTAGCGTGACGTCAGCAGTCCGCGCCTCTCGGCCAATAACGGCTACCATCTCCTCTCTAGGAAGGCAGGAGTGGCTTCCTCTCGGTGGTTCCTCCCCGCCGGAAAGCGGAGGATTTCGGTCCTGCGCCGGGGAAGACCGGCCTTAGAAGCCGCCTGCGAGCCCACCTGACGGGCGTCTTCCAGCACAGGGAAACGGAATGGAAGTCAGGAGGGTCGACCACAAGGAGCTCTTAGTGTGCATCAGTCCATTCTGCAGGTCCGCTGCATTTAGCTTCCTATGTTACTGTCTGTTGGGGATTCTCAAGGCTTTCACAAAACTGACTTCCACTTTACACATTCTCACCTGTAAGAAAACTGATCTTGTCACAGGAATCCCTGAGTTTAGTGACCCAGGATGTTTGTTCAAGTGGCCAAAAGAAGAGCTCTGCAGGCCAGGCGCCGTGGCTCACTCCTGTAATCCCAGCACTTTGGGAGGCTGGAGCAGGCGGTTCACCTGAGGTCAGGAGTTCGAGACCAGCCTGGCCAACATAGCGAAACCATCTCTCCTAAAAATACAAAATTAGCCAGGCTAATTTTGTATGTATGCCTGTAGTCCCAGCTACTTGGTAGGCTGAGGCAGGAGAATCACCTGAACCTGGGAAGTGAAGTTTGCAATGAGTTTAGGTCATGCCATCCATCCTGGGTAACAAGAGTGAGACTGTCTCAAAAAGCAAAAACAAACAAAAAAAAAACCTCTCTGCTTTGGGCTTAAATCCCCGGTTTTTGTTGTTTGAACTTTACAACTTTACCTCTCTGTGCCTGCTTCCTCACTTATTGGTATAATGATGATACCAAATTTCATAGGGTGGTTGTGAGGATTAAATGAGGTTAATATGTGTGAATCAGTAAGAACATCTAGTATTTTTTAAATCTTTGGTGAATGTTAGGACTATGATCTGTTTCTCAAATCCCAGCTTCAGTCCCTATTGTTCAGCCTTGGCTTCAGTGACTTTTCAAGGCCTGAAGGTAGCACACCCATCCCTTTCTACAAAACTTCAGATCTTGCTGGCCCTAACTCAGGAAATATTTGCACACATGGGCTTATCTTGATGGGTAGAGTCCAGAGATGAAGGCATGAGCAGAGAGTACCTTATTCACTTCCAAGCATTCCTACTGATCTGCAAGCTCAGGACAATGGGGCTGTGTGCATACCATCATATCCCTAGTGTGCATCATATGGTAGTGAACACTTGCTGAGTAAATGAGATGCAACAGAGAAATTATCCATTCCAGACCAGTCACAGTGGCTCACACCTATAATCCCAGCACTTTGGGCGGCCAAGGCAGGCAGATCACGAGGTCAGGAATTTGAGACCAGCCTGACCAGCATGGTGAAACTTCATCTCTACTAAAAATACAAAAATTAGCCAGGCATGGTGGCACACACCTGTAATCTCAGCTACTCAGGAGGCAGAGGCAGGAGAATTGCTTGAACCCAGGAGGCAGAGGTTGCAGTGAGCCGAGATTATGCCACTGCACTCCAACCTGGGCGACAAAGCGAGATTCCATCTAAAAAAAAAAACTACCCATTCCAATCTCCAGATGGCTGTTTTCCCAAAATGGAGTCCCTTTCGGACACAAATCAGGAATGATGGTGCCACAGACAGGCCATCTCTATCTTTGGCTAAAAAGTGACCCTTTGTAAAACTGTCAGTTGACATGCCATGTATCAATAATGTTACGTTTCCTTGACTTTCTGGGTGTCATATCCTCAGCATTTGTTTGGAATCAGAGAGCAAGTTCTTCCCTCTAGCCCTAACATCCCACAAGCCACAAGCCAGAGAGCCTAGGTCTAATTATTTATTCCTTAAACATTAGGGTTCAAAGAATCTCCAATTCGGCAGGCTATAGTGTGTGGAAGAGATTAAGTCTGGAGTGAGGTACCCTAGGTAGCACAAGTATCTAGAAACAGTAATCTGGACTTTAATAGTTTGGGCTGAGCTTCTTTCAATGAGGTGGAAAATGAATGGTAGGGATGGACACCAAAAACATTCCATAAAACTAAAATAACCTTGGCCCTTATGTGGCCAGTGGACAAAATAAATGAAACTAATGCCACATATGGTCAAGATTAGGGTCTGCCTTATGTAGAAAGTAAAGGCCAAAATGTGTAATCAACTTACTTGTCACCCTCACACTCAGGGAAGTCTGAGATTCTGATAACAAAAATCTTATGCAAGTGAGCTCCTCACATCCTCAGGATGGGGAAAAATTGGAGCACTATGTTGCTCGGACAAGTCCTAATGCGTGTGACAGATTATATTGTTTACTGAGAACGACAGCAAGGAAAACCAAGCTGGCCCCCAAGCGGAAAATGCTCAGGGTGTTTTGAAGTAGTGGAAAATGTATGCATATCATATGATGGTTAAGCCAATTCTTTAAACACAGGATACATGACCCTGCCCCCATTGCTCCCTTGTGGAGAATGCTCATGTGCTGTGAGAAAACACAGCACACCTGCTCATTAATCACCTGTTTGACAGAGAATAAATATGTGGGTCAGCCGGGCGCGGTGGCTCAAGCCTGTAATCCCAGCACTTTGGGAGGCTGAGGCGGGTGGATCACGAGGTCAAGAGATCGAGACCATCCTGGTCA